CTTGCTAGAGCACGTATTGGCTGTGTGACTGCAGGGAAGTCACTGAACCTCTCTGGGCCTCCGTTTTCTTAGAAGTAATCTAGGTGTAAACATGGTAACTTACTTCAGAAGGTTGACGAAGCTAGTAGGTGAGATGCCCTATGCAAAGTGCGTGGTACATAGAGGACAGTCAACACAGGGGGGCTCTTTGTACCTTAGTGGGTTTTTTTTTTATTATCATTGCTAAAGTATAAACCAGAGGAATATATTGGGGGGAAAACATGGGCATTGGCGTCAGACCAACTAGGGTGCAGATTCTAGTCTCACATGTGCTAGTTGCTTCCCAGAGTCTAGTTTCTTCATCTGCAAAATAGGGAACAGGATTGTGGCAAAGGTAAGTGAGATATGCATGAATAGGGTCTGCCACCGGGGCTGACAGGAGTAAGTACCAGTACACAGCTCTGTCATTCTTCCTGTCACTGCCATCACCACCGCTAAAGCATTAGACGCGAGGGAGGGCCAGCAGCCCTTGCATTTACAGAACTCCTACCGTGTGGAAAGTTCTTTCTTCCAGAAAGATACAGGCAGTAGCATCACTCTCCCTGCCCCCTAGCCTTGTTGGTTCCCCGGTGTCCTGAGTCCCTGTGGCCTGTTTGCGGAGGTGCCTGCTTGACCAGCCCCGCACTAGGGCCACCCACCCTCCCCCACCCTCGCGCGCGCGCACACACACACACACAAACACACACACATTAAATAAATAAAAAATATTTGAAAATTATAGTGCCTAACCTTTTTGTTGTCCTTGATTTCTGGGCATGGCTACTGAATCATCTTGGAACCACCCTCCCCTCTCTGCTGCCCTCCCTGCCTCCTCCCGCCCACCCTGTGTGATTACCCAGAAGGAGCTGGGTCTCCCCAAGCCCCTGGTGGTGGGATGGTTTGGGGTGCCTTTCCCCAGACATCTTTGTTGTTTGCCTTCTTCCTAGCTGAACCTCATTTTTGTGTGTGTGTGGGCAGCTCATTTTTTGATGCCTTAGAAAATAGATGTCAGCTGTTTTTCGTTCTGGGCTTGTCTGCCACTTCATTAAAGTGCTGTGTATTCCATGTCTGAGTTCAAGTAACAATGGCCCAGTTCCAAGTCCCCAGTCATTTCCTAGGTGGCTGCTACTTAATGCAACTGTTTCTTGGGTTGAAGCCTTTGGCTGGGGAAGGGGGGTGGCTGGTGCCTCGGGGCAGGGAATGGAAGGAGAAAAGTGGGCTCTTCTGCAGCCCCGTTGCCATCCAGCCCCAGCCTTGCTGCCTGCGGCAAACATCGCCCAGCCCCTCCAGAGCCCGGCATTTGTCAGGGGCTGGGAGCACTGGGAGGTGAGGCCTGGGGAGCACAGATGCTTAAAAGACGAACACGGTGCAGATTGCAGCCCAAGTCAAGTCCAGTTTTCTTTCCTTCTTTCTTCCTTTCTTTAGGCCTCGCAGCCTTAAGCCCCCCAGACGTCCAGTTGGCATGTCCTTGGGCATCATCACTTGCAGGGCCCAGTGCAAAATGAAAATGTGGCCGCTTCCGCTGGGCCCTGGATGGGTGACCCCAAGAGTTCGTCACCGCTGCACTCTGGGTACATAGATTAGGGGAGTCAAGAGGCCACTGTGGAGTCACCAGTACATGCATCAGGGCATTGCCTGCCCAGGTCAGGGAGGGCTCCACCAACCGGAACCTCCCCACCCCTCTTAGCCCCAGTGCCTGAGCCCCCCCCCGCTTCCCCCCCACACACACACACACAACACTGTCACATTTAGGGGCTGATGACAGTAATGGGGCAAGGTGGTGGCGACCCCCCTGGGCCAGGCTCCAGGAGGTGGGGAGCAGGAGCCTAAAACCCTTCTGTGGAGGTAGTAGGAGGCAGGTCCATGAGTGAGCTGAGGCCCCAAACCCCCGTGCCTGCTCCATTGCCCCATCAGACGTCACTTACAAAGCACAACGTCAAAGGTAAAAATATTAGGAGTGTAGATGGCGCCCTCACAGGTATGGGTCAGTGAATAGAGCGTCGGCCTATGGACTGAAGGGTCCCAGTTTTGATTCCGGTCAAGGGCATGTACCTTGGTTGCAGGCACATCCCCAGTGGGAGGTGTGCAGGAGGCAGCTGATCGATGTTTCTCTCATCGATGTTTCTAACTCTCTATTCCTCTCCCTTCCTCTTTGTAAAAAATCTATAAAATGTATTTTTAAAAAAATGAAGTGTAGGTGGCAACGGCAGAGCATTGAGCCCCAAGCGCAGGCCCTTAGGCATGCAGGACCCATTGGGGTCAGGTGACTACAGGTTCCCAGAAGAGAAAATGATTGGCTCAGTCTGAGACCAGGTGGGCAGGAACCAGGCCAGTCCACGAAGAGGGAAGATGGGGGTGCAGTCGAGGCGGTGAGCATGCACGATGGGGCTGACTCCACCACGTGGACAGCGGGGCTGGCGAGGCCGACCCAAAAGAGCCTTCTCTAGTGGCCTGTGCTCCAGCCGTAGGAGATGGAGACCCTACACTTATTCAACTGAGAAATAACAGCATCTGCCAACTCCCAGGAATCTGAGACTTTTCCAATGCGTTTGGAAGGTGCTTGAGCTCCCTGGAAGGCGGGCCCACCCAACTGTCATCAAAACCGCATTGACCATTGGATTTGACCATAGGACTGGGGAGGGGGAGCAAGACTAGATGTCTTTTTTTTTTTTAATATATATTTTATTGATTTTTTTCAGAGAGGAAGGGAGAGAGATAGAGAGCTAGAAACATCGATCAGCTGCCTCCTGCACATCTCCCACCGGGGATGTGCCCGCAACCAAGGCACATGCCCCTGACCGGAATCAAACCTGGGACCCTTCAGTCCGCAGGCCGACGCTCTATCCACTGAGCCAAACCGGTTTTGGCAAGACTAGATGTCTTTGAGGCGCCTTTTAACCCCAGTTCCAGAACTTCCATGCTGTGTGTTATGAGGATTTTAAAAAGAATGTTTTCCATTCTCTACAAGACACAAGCACCTTCTTTTCCTTTAAAAAAAAAAAAAAAACCCCGCCCGATGTCTTCTTGAAGGGGAAAGAAGTGGAAAGAAAGGAAGTAGAACCCAGGCCGTTTGTTAAAGTTTATTCCTTGGGCTACAATGTGATTTTTGTATCACACAGAGGAAATGTCAACAGACTCGAGGACGGTTTTACTGTCTAAGACTGGCACTCAGGGCTCTGCTTGCTTTCTGACCCGGAAGCTGCTGGCTTACCTTTCCTTGGCAGTTAGGGTTTCACCTCAATGACCTGTCCATCCCATCATGTTTTGTGAAGGAATTCTTTGTAAATCACTTTGATTTTAGGCTTTCATCTGCCATCTGGAAACTAGTGACCGGTTTTTAAAATGAGGCCGTTATCTTGTGAATTTTACGAGGACCTATGAAATGTGGGTTATGTTACAGTAGTCACAAATGTGACAGCACCTTTGAGAGAACATTTTAATGTTTTGGATGTAGGCTTATTTATTGTAGACTCCCGTTACTTCCCACTCCTGGTATGAAGATAGCTGGAATAAGAGAGCAATTCTTGTCATCACTACCCACCACTGATTACTAAGGACGTAAAATAGTGTGTGTGTGTGTGTGTGTGTGTAGCAATTATTATTATTATTTTAATATTTTTATTGATTTCAGAGGAAGAGAGTCTCATTAAAGTGCTGAAGCCTTCGGGCTGGGGAAGGGGTGGGGCTGGTGCCTCGGGAGAGAGAGACAGAAACATCAATGATGAGAGTGAATCATTGATCAGCTGCCTCCTGCACGCCCTACACCAGGGATCAAGCCTGCAACCTGGGCATGTGCCCTTGACTGGCATCGAACCTGGGACCCTTCAGTCCGCAGGCTGATGCTCTACCCACTGAGCCAACCCGGCTAGGGCATGATTATTCTTATCAGAACTTAATGATATTGCTGAGATGATGCCATTTTCCAGAGGAGGAACTCAAGACTCAGGGAAATTAAGTCCAAGACCACAGAGCTTGAATGTGGCCGAGCTGGGACTTGAACCCTTGGCCTGATTCACAGTTCTTTCCTCTCTGCCACCCGTGCCCTCATCATCTCTGTAACAGGGCTCTTTATAAAGGAGAGAACTAAGAAATGCATGAAGTTTTGTTACAGAATACTGGTCATCCTGGGCCCCCACCGCATAGCGTAGGCCTTGCATAACCTGGTAGTGAGGCGAGTGGAGAGGCGGCAGCTCACTCTTGCTCTCTGAGCTGCTGGGACTTGCGGAGAGGCTGCTCCGTAGCTTAGGGGACCAGCCATAGCTTTCTGAGGGAGGGCAGGGGTCCGGGCGGGAAGCCTTGCTGGAATGCAGCAAAGCAGAGTGGAGAGCACACAGCTCCTGGAGCCAGGCGGACCAGCGCCGTCTCCCGTGGGCAGGCCTCACTGTGCGCACCAGTAAAGTCAGGGGAATGGCACCAGTGGACAGGATGATCCAGAGGGTTGGAATTCGGTGAGATGAGGGGCCTGAGCCCTCTAACAGACCCAGAACGTTTAACTGGTTAGTTGCAGTTGCAAAGGGACTAGATCTTTCTCTCCCCACAACCTTCCCCCGCAGACACGCGACGGACACATCCTTCTGCTTATGATTTTGTGTGTAGTCTTTCATGCCAGCGTGAGAAACCTAAATTTATCTTTTTTAAAAACCTATTCTTTCTGCCTAATTTCCCATTGCCTCTCTTCTCTGAGTTTAGATGAAAGGCTGGAAGGACATTGGGTATCAGTGTCCGTCCATAGAATCCAGCCAGGCTCGCCGCATGCCGCCTCCGGGGTTGGAGGGATGGCCATGGTGGAGGTTGGGTTTGGCGCTTGTCTCACTCTGTTGCGATGGGCTGTCTTCTCCTGGAGCCTTGGCCTTCCGCGAGGACAAAAGGCTTCTTAGCCTTGGAGGCCCGGCGAGCTCGCAGCGCCCAGGAGGCTGGCAGGGGGAGAGGGCTGCCATGTGCAAAGGAGCTCAGCTCTCGTGTCCTTTGTTCTCTTTTGGCAGAACCAGCTTCTTGCGAAAGGACTGCTGTTTGTGGAGGAGAAGATTAAGCTGTGCGAAGGCAAGTATGGGGCTGCCCTTGCAGAGCGGGGCTCCCCGGACTCGGGCTTTGATGTTTGGGCGGCCGGGGCGCTTCTGTCCAAATGCGGCCGGCCCCACGCGAGGGATTCACCCCGGGCCGCTGCATTTCCATCTGAGTCAGCCTCTCGTGCCGCGGCAGCTGCCACTGCGCTTCGAAAAGGGAAGTGGAACCCGGAGGTCGCTTTGCAGACCTCGTGTAAGGGGGGTTTTCATGGGGTGTGTGCAGCGGTCCCCTGTGATGGGATGAGTTACACGGTAGGTCCGGTTATGCTGTTCTCTCTCGTCTGATCCAGGCTATTTCCTATTGGTCTCTGTCCTGTTTCTTGTCATAAGTGACCAGGGGCCTATCTGCTAGGGAAATGTTAGGCTAAGCAGACGGCCACTTCAGGGGGTCTTGTTTGATAGGCAAAGGAATGTTTTCTGGCTGTAAAAGATGGTTAGAGCCCATTGGACAAGACAGGATGGAATTGGAAGGTGGGTCCCAAGGCAAGAATCGCCAGCCCCTGGGACTAGCTCCACCTGGGACTACGTCAGCTCCCACCCGTGTGGATCCTGACCTCGGCTGCCCCTGCGTTCGTGGGTGACTGGTTGGCAAGTTTCTAGTTTCTCTGAGCCTTGGTTTTTAGTGTCCTTAACATGATAAAATGGGGATCAGGATGGTAGGGAGGATCAAGGGCATCACTGGTGCAGCACCATACCCAGCACACAGTAGGTACACAAACTGGTTCCTCCTTCTTTTGTTTGTCCTGCTCTAGCCTGAGTCCTCTGGCTGTAGGATAGACTTACTTCTAGACCCAGACTTACCAGGCATTAGGTCACCCCTTCTTTCTCCCATTCCCTGGGAAAGAGACTGGCGTCCAGGGAAGTGGCTCCCCGTCAGGCAAGGCAGGAAGAGAAATGTGAGGCTGGCAGGGCAGAGGGCGTTGTCTGGCACACAGTGAGTGCTCACCAGCCTGCGAAGATCAGAGATTAGACACTCGCCTCTCTCTGAGAGCTGCCTGAACCTGTGGCCTTGTTTCCCTTGCGTCCATCTATGCTGAGACTCCTCACGCTTACAAATACCCACCAACCCGAGGCCTTGCTTATAGTGACTGGCTCTGATGAGCACTTAGTGGGCCTTTTGCATTTTGGTGGCAGGCTAGGACACGTGTGTGGAAGGTGGCAGGCTAGGACACGTGAGAGGAAACAGAAGCATGGTCTCTGGGCACATTATTTGTCTGTAAGTCATTTGGGGAATTTTTACAAGCTCTTGCAAATATGGACAAATACCAGCTCTATGAAAAGGACGCTGAGCAAAACCAGAGATCTGAGTGCCCTTAAAAAGGAAAGGGGACCCTGGCCGGTGTGGCTCAGTGGATGGAACGGCGGACTGAAAGGTCCCAGGTTCGATTCTGGTCCAGGGCACATGCCTGGGTTGCAGGCTCGATCCCTAATGAGGGGCATGCAGGAGGCAGCCTGTTAGTACTTCTCTCTCATCATTGGTGTTTCTATCTCCCTCTCCCTTCCTTTCTAAAACCAATGAAAATATATTTTTTTAAAAAAGGAAAGGGGAATGTCTCTTGCCCAAGTGATGCTCAACAGATGCATCCAGAGTGAAGCCTCAGAATGGAGCTAGACGGGTGAGCAGGTCATCCGGGCTTCTGGGCCACGGCCCCAACGTGGGCCGGCGAGTTTGGAGCCCGGGTGGTCTCTCTGTGGCCCCCTGGTCCCGGGCCTGGGTGCCAGGGTACTCTCTGCACAGCGAGGGGGCCTGAGGGGAACCGTTAAGGGTTCCATCCCTTCAGCCAGAACGTCTCTGCTCTATGTTATGTATGACGGCTCCAAGCAGGATTTCGTTTGGGGAAGAGGACTGTCCTGCTCTGAAATAGAGTTTGGAAAGGACTGAGAGGACCCGCCCTGTCCCTGAACAGACTGCACTTTATTTTTTTAAATGGAGCTAGACGGGTGAGCAGGTCATCCGGGCATCTGGGCCGCAGCCCCAACGTGGGCCGGCAAGTTTGGGGCCCGGGTGGTCTCTCTGTGGCCCCCTGGTCCCAGGCCTGGGTGCCAGGATCCTCTCTGCACAGCGAAGGGGCCTGAGGGGAACCGTTAAGGGTTTCATCCCCTCAGCCAGAACGTCTCTGCTCTATGTTATGTATGACGGCTCCAAGCAGGATTTCGTTTGGGGAAGAGGACTGTCCTGCTATGAAATAGAGTTTGTAAAGGACTGAGAGGACCCTCCCTGTCCCTGAACAGACTGCACTTTATTTTTGTATTTTTTAAAAATATTTTATTAATTTTTTACAGAGAGGAAGGGAGAGGGAGAGAAAGTTAGAAACATCGATGAGAGAGAAGCATTGATCAGCTACCTCCTGCACACTCCCTACTGGGGATGTGCCCGCAACCAAGGCACATGCCCCTGACCGGAATCGAACCCGGGACCCCTGAGTCCGCAGGCCGACTCTCTATCCACTGAGCCAAACCGGTCAGGGCCAGACTGCACTTCATTGACCTTTTTGCTAATATACGTCCACACCGCCTCCTGGCCGCAGACAGGGCAGAGGCAGCTCCTGTCCGCGGGGCGTTCTGTGGAGGGATGTGCCACGTGACTCGCAGCCAGTCCCTTCTGATCTTTAGTGACCTTGACCTGAAAGACGTTTCCCGTACCTATCCTCCGGACCTCTGGTGATCTCCACTCTCACGGTGCATTAGAGGAGAGTTTTCTAAGAGAGTCATCTAGAACCTTCCATCCAGGGAGGACTTGGCAGGGAGCTAAGTCCTTGACGTGGGGGCTGTTTCTGGAGGTGACGCCACCTCCTTCCTTGAACTCTCGCTTCCCTGGGGCTACCCTGTGTCTGTCTGAGGTTGTTTTCTGAACACGTTCCAAAGCCTCCGTTCCTCTCTGGAGTCTGCAGCCAGCAATTAGGCCCAGGCTCCCGGGACAGGCGCCTTCCGGCTGCGGGGCTGAGGGATGGCCTCACGGTCCCACGAGCGTTCCATCTGGGAGGGGGTGGGAGGAGAAGGGGAGCAGACAGGCGCCGGCAGGTCCGCCATCGACCTGCAGGATTCACCTCCCTTCCTTCAGGGTAGGGGTGGGGCGCCTCTGCTTGTCCATGTACCGAAGGCTTAGCCTAGGGCAGTGATGGCGAACCTTTTGAGCCTTCCGGCTGCGGGGCTGAGGGATGGCCTCACGTGCCCACGAGCGTTCCATCTGGGTGGGGAAGGGGAGCAGACACGCTCCGGCAGGTCTGGCATCGACCTGCAGGATTTACCTTCCTTCCCTCAGGGCAGGGGGGCCTCTGCTTGTCCGAATACCGAAGGCTTAGCCTAAGGCAGTGATGGTGAACCTTTTGAGCTCCGCGTGTCAGCATTTTGAAAAACCCTAACTTAACTTTGGTGCCGTGTCACATATAGACATTTTTTGATATTTGCAACCATAGTAAAACAAAGACTTATATTTTTGATATTTATTTTATATATGTAAATGCCATTTAACAAAGAAAAATCAACCAAAAAAATGAGTTCGCATGTCATAGGTTCGCCACCACTGGCCTAAGGGCTGTCAGTGAGGAGCTGGAACAGCCTCTTCTCCTGGGAGGCACATTCATCTGGGTGTGGGGGTTCACCTTGGTTTTAGGTACCGGGCTGACTCGTTCCTGCAGAGAACTAGCATAGCCTGCATTTGAAAAGAGGATGCTGATGGACTGAGTCACACATGTATTGATTATCTTCTATCGACCAGGTTCTCTCCTAGGTGCTGGGGACACAGGGGTGCACAAAACCGTCCTAGGATTACAGGCCCTTGTGGCGCTCACGGCCTGGTAGTGGAGACAGATATTAATCCCATCATCACCAAATGTCAAACTGCAGCTAGGCTGGTACTAAGAATATCATGCCATTCATAGTAGGAGAATTTGACCACTTTCCTGTGGCCCAGGGCACAAGCCTGGGTTGCGGGCTCGATCCCTAGTGAGGGGCGTGCAGGAGGCAGCCTATCAGTGCTTCTCTCTCATCGTTGATGTTTCTATCTCCCTCTCTGAAATCAATAAAAATATATGTTGGAGCTGAAACTC